CAATTGCCCTCTTCAAGCTATCCTTTTTGGAAAACATGCCACAAGTTTATATGAATTCCAAATTCCCCATTGAATACTATGTTTAGATTAAGTAATCACTTTAAAGGCAAGTCTTAATATTTTTTTATTAGATTTGCGTTATAATTGATGAATATGTTGAGTTTCTTATATCTTTAATATTTTTTTTTTTTTTTTTTTTTGTTGACCCGGTGTCCCATCAGTTTACATACATCCAACTACTTCCCTGAACTCTAAAATGAACGACCGAGAATCTCTTATAGTCACCCTGTCAGCCCTAGAGACTCAAATTCAAGAATCCATGTTGATCACTTTGCTCTTTTACCACCAGACCATTGGTGGTGTGTTATATATTTAATTTTTATTCTATCATTTCCTCTGTTCTCTATCAACACCATTTTGCAACCAGGTGAGGGAAGGTAGAGAAAGTTACAGAAAAGAGGATATATTTGTCACTCACCATTTTCATAGCTTTAGCCATGTGGCTCTTGAAATCATGTATTCTCTTTTGTTTGAGTGCCTTCTTAAACACGCAAGAGCAGAGCTAGTACTTCATTAATCATATACTACACTTAATCAATTAATCCCCTTTGTTTATGAATGGTATTGTTATACCAATGATGTTTTCATGCTGTATATCACATGTGAACATTAATGAAAAAAAAAAAATTCCATCTAATGAGTGGAAAATCATATTCTTTATCTCATCTAAACATAATTGTATTACAAGTACATGAATTTCAACAAGTGTGGCTTAGAACTGTTAATGATATAAACAATCCTGATGATAATGACAGAAGCAAAAGATATTGCATTGTTGTTAAAGTAATATGGAGCATGGGGTATTTCTTAGCTTGAAGGATCAGTAAAGGAATACATACAGATAATAATAAAACATTTGATGTGTGCAAGTGTATAATAAGGTGGCCTTCAATTTTTCAATATATTATTGCAGACGAGGTCAGGTCAGGTCAGATGTATCGAGCATGCTACCTTTGAAATCAAGGCTCTCTTTTCTACTTCTCTCCACTGCAATTAAATCATGCCATTCCTCACGCTGTTTACCTTAGACTGTTATCTTCTTTCTCAATGTGATGGTGACTTCTCCCTCTGATTCTTTCTGAGGCCCATTTAACTTTCACACAAGATCCTTGTTTGAGTTAAATGGGCTTTAGAGCTCACATGTTTTCACATTCCTTCCCCCTCTCTCAACCACAAGCCTTGTTTACATGTATTAAGTGAATTACAATTTCTGGGTTTTGAATGTGAGCTATCCTTCTTCAACCATTTCTACAAGCCATTCACAGGGTCATATTGACTTACTTTGATACCAAGGAGCTGATGGGCCGAGCTCCAAATTGCAGTTTTAGTTTTGGACCATAAACAAAAGAGTAAACGACTTTTTCCACCCAAATATGGTTTAATGGCACTTTTTCACCACAACTTTTAAATATTATTTTATTATTTAAATGTTATACCATTTTATTCTGAACTCGTTGCAACCTTACACCATCACCAGTCTTTTTTCTAATTATCACTCACTAAAACCCCTCAAACCTTACTTTCATTGGCTCTATCAATCATCGAAATCAAGCGTTAAAGTTTGCGTAACCATCTCTTCTTAATCAATTTCATCAATTTTAATCATTAAAATTAATTTTATTACCAAACTTTATTGTCTTCTCTCTTTAAAAATCTCAATAGTCTAATTGAGTTGTATCTTATTTATCGTTGAAATAAATTAAATAATAAAATGACTTAAATCTTCGATTAAAAATCTTACTTGGGTGAAAAAAGTAGTTAACCTAAAACAAAAGCGCTAAAACGATGGTGAATTGGTGATAGACATCTGTGCTTAGGGACTTGTGGGAAAACTTTAAAGTCATCTATGACTATAAATATGGCGTGAAATTGTCATGGGCTAAGAGTTAATTAATGACCAGAAACGCAACCCGAGGTTCACCAACCCTACCCAAGAAAAGAAAATTTTAATCAATGAGCCTGAAACTGAATTCTGATTCTGGGAACTTCCATTTTTATACGTTTTAAGATATACTTTAAATTTTCTCATTCCCCCTAATCCTAAGGACAAAAAGTGCAAAGTACAATTCTCCCAATTGTAACCAAAAACTTCTTCATTAACCTGAAATAACTGGTAAATGATTAGGAAGTGGGAGTTTACTCATTAAAGTCTACTTTTTATATTATTGTTTAGGATAGAAACAAAACAGGGCCATGAACAAGGGAACTGAGAATTTGTGTTAATGGCAAACACATGCTCCTATAATGAGCTTTTACTTTTAGGAGCTCAAGAATAAGGATCGAATGTGGCATAAGATCATGAATTGTACTCTTAACTTTATCAAGAATTTAGGGCCGGTTCAAGGGGTAGGCAGGTGGGGCATCTGCCTAGCCCCAATATAAATAAAAAAGGACTCAAATTTTTATAAATATTATATAATTTCTTATCCAAGAACCCCCACACACAAAAAAAAAAAAAAAAAAAAAAAAAAAAAAAGGCAGGCCAAAAAGGCCAAAGGCCCAAATTATATAAACTGTTTACATATATTCACATCCAAAGTTTGATGAATAACAAGTTTATAACTCTAATTTCATATTTTTAATTTCCCCCTAAATTAACACATTAAATTTTTTTTAACAAAAAAGGTTAAATGATCATTTACATGTCACAAATTACTTACCCCCAATTCAATTCCAAATTCGATATCACATAAATCATCTCTACCCCCTCTTTCGCCCGACCAACTGATTTCGATCATTTTCCTCACCAAATTGACTAGATCATCATCACTTAATCATTTCCTAAGTGTTTCCCCAGCCTGATAGCTCTTTTTGACTGATTTTGATGAATCTCGCAACCCAACTCCATTGCGACAACCATTTCCGACCTTTTCGGCATGTACCTGACGTTGTTGGCCTTACCCGACACCACCATCTTCCTCCCCTCACCCTCTCACCAAAACCCCTACATACGTCATTTGTTTACTTCGCGTTACTTCGCCAATCACCGGCCACCGATACCTTTTGGGTTGTGACTTCTCAAGCCTTTTCCGGTCAATCCTGACATTAGAAATTCCTCATTTCACCACTCATTGCTTCTTGTATAGGCTCTCTACACAACACCCCCCCCAACCTGACCCCATTAGCCTGCTGATTACGTCCCCATCTCCTGGTGATTTTGCATCTCAAAAAATAAGAAAATAAATTTGAAATAATCTTTTAATATATGTTAAATTATTAGAAGGCCCCCAAAAGTCCTCTTGCTAAGGTTACAAATATTCTTAAGACAAAGAATTATAGTGCTTGACTGGACTTTAGGTATAGGATTGATCCATGCCCATCACTACTACAGCTCAACTAATTATAATGGAATTCTACTACTTCTTGTTGAATTAGTTTTACCATACTTGATCAAAGGTTAAAAAAGAGGTTCAACCAAAAAAAAAAAAAAAAAAATACAAAACCTTCCCTCGTGGGTAGGCGATAGGACTCTTGGTATATTACTCAATCTTGAATTCGATTCTTCTCAATTGCTAATAGTGGTCACTAGAGGGAATATCCAGTCGTTACCTTCAAGACTCTATAGATTAGTCAAGTACGTATAGCTGACTGGACACCTGGTCACCAATAAAAAAATAAAAATAAATAAAGAGATAGAAATACAATAAGCAAATTAACCCATATATAGTAAAATTAGGTTGTTTGAGAATATGATCAAGATCACTAAATCAATAATTGAAAAAAAGTTAAATAGAAAGAGGAGAAGTGTCAAATCAATGCTAGGTGTGGTGTTCCTTTTATTAAGCATAAGCAGTGGGAATAAAACAATTTTTCGTGAATTTGATGGGTTGGAATATTACTTTGTCCATCAGAATTATTCTTACACAAAAGAGATAAGAGGGGACATGAATAGCCAAGCATATCTTCTCCATTAAATTAAGCGAAAATATGCATCACCAAAGAGCTAAACCTTACCTACTTCAGCCTTAAGAAAATGACCTGGAAGCATAAGTTAAGCACAAGATAAGGTAAATAATTCCACTCATTATTCCACCTTTTAAAAAGCAAGGAATCTCAAGACTCAGCTATTGACCTAACTTATTTTCTTTTTCATTTGTCCTCACCATTACCAACTGCTGTATTATTAGATGAAGAATCAATTTTGCATCATCTCTATTTCGAGAACCACCACCACAAAAGCCAACTCATCTATTCTCATTTGGGTTATCACTATCACTGTGTTTATTTATTTATTTATGGTCATAATGAGCCCTTTGATCAATGCCCCGTTTAAAAATTGTTTATAGTTTGTGGATAAGAATGCGTAGAATGAGGCCATGTTTTATATTAAAATATTTCAAACAAGCACTTAGAATTGAAAACCTAATTAAGACACCTGTCGCAATATCTTAGAGAGAAACATAGGGAGATTCTGCAAGGTGGGGTGCTATAAGGGGTGTTTTATTCAATACATACAAATGAAATTTAATAAATTGCTTTTATTTTGAGGGTTTTGTGTCCTCTTCTCATCTTATCATCTCTTCTTTTCGCCACAAGCATTTTCATATGTTTCTTTTTTTTTTCTTTTTTTAATGATTGAGGTATCTGACTAATTTACGCATATCTCAACTAATTTTTCGAGACCCTAAAACTACCAATCAGATAAAAATTTAAATAATTACCCCCTATTAATAACCGAAAAAAAACTCGAATTCGAAACTTCTTGATTAATACACCCAAAAATTTCTATGGACCCGCATATTCATATGTTTAAACAATATGTTTGTTTATTGTTCAAAAAAATTAATCCTTTTCAATTGAAAGGATGTTTCAACAAACTTTACAGTAAAAAAAGACATTTTCTTAAGCGATAATTATCTTATAGTGATAGCTAAGTTAGCTTAAATTTTGCATAGTAATATTAAATTAAGCAGTCATTGTTCAAGTAACATAATTGATTGTGACTAAACAGATAATTAATTTACTAGACTTGGGTAGAACATTCACAGAAATACACCACCTTTAAATAAAGAAAAAAAAAAAGGAGAACAATTAAAACATAAAAATAGAAAAGGATAAATAAAAATAAAACCACTACTTAAGTACAACCAAAGCAACATCAAAAGGGATACAAAATAAACCCTTCAAACACGGTAGGCATTGTTATCTACAATTCAATGGCCCTCTAGTTTCTCCCTCTAATCCCAATAAATTAGGCAAGAGAGATTGGCTTAAAGGACTCTCAACACATACTTGCACTCCCCATAATTGTTATTCTTTTCATAAACACCATGATCTTAGAATATTCATTTAGGCATTGCTCCTGAAGGATCCAAGTGCCTTAATGGCTGCTGCTCTAAGAATGAATTGGTGGTAGAATGCAGCAATGGCAGCTCCAATGAAGGGTCCAACCCAGAATAGCCACTGAACATTAATAAAAACAAAACAATAATATTAGTGTCATATAAATATTATGATGATAGGCTTATAACAAAAATAATAAGAATAAGAATAGGAATAAGAATAAATGTGAATATATATTACTTGGTCATCCCAGGCTTTCTCCTTGTTGTAGATCACAGCAGCTCCGAAACTCCTAGCAGGGTTGATGCCGGTGCCGGTGATGGGGATTGTGGCCAAGTGAACCATGAACACAGCAAACCCAATGGGGAGTGGTGCCAAAACCTTGATATTTGGTAAACAAAGAACATCAATCAAATATGAAATTAATTCAACCACAAGGTCTCACTATTGTTGTCTACTCCTATGGTAATGACTCTTATTATTCATTGAATCCAGTTGATGATCACCGATTAATTAGTTTAGATTATAGTTTACAAATATTATTCATGTTTAAAAGTAATAATCTTTGTTGTAAGTGTAGTCCCCCACAAATCAATAGCTTGGGTAGAACAAAAAAGGCAAAGTCATCAAGAAAACGACCCATACCTAAAACAAAAATCAATTACAAGTTGATACATAAAAAGCATAACCAATATTATACATTAAAAAAACATGAGAAATGACAAGAATCATTATTTCACTTTAAATTATTCAATAAAATTAGAATACCAGTATAGAAGTATAGTAGGGAGGCCCTTATCTTCCTACGGAGTAAGGGCTATAATTTTTTTTTTTTTTTTTTTTTTTGAGATATATATTTATATAATTCTGAAATTAAAGCTATAATATGAACTGCTTACAGGAACATGGGAGTCTCTGGCACTCCTCTTGGGATCAGTGGCGGAGAAGACAGTGTAAACAAGAACAAAGGTTCCAATGATCTCAGCTCCCAATCCAGTGCCCTTGTTGTAACCATCGGCGAGCTCGTTGGCTCCGCCACCATACCTATTGTAGTATGACTTCTGGAATGCCTTGACCAAACCACAACCACAGATTGCTCCCAGGCACTGAGCCACCATGTACAACACTGCCCGGATGAGTGACACCTTGCGACCCAAGAACAACCCGAATGTCACAGCCGGGTTGATGTGTCCTCCTGTGCATAGTTAGAAATATACTTCGTCACTGAGTAAATAAAAAATTATATCTCAACTTTGCAGCTGAATATATATTAGGACCAACATATATATTATAATTGATGTTCATAGATGCTTATTTTTTGGCCGAAACATGAAACTTTAAAACAAAAATCTATTTAAGCGAATCTAATGGAAATTTTAATATATATATTTTCTCTGGTCAAGAAGCTCAAATCCAGTAGAAATAGAAAATGCCATGGCTGTCAAAATACAGTTTCCGTTGTTGTACTTTTCTAAAGAGACAAAACTCCAAGAGTAAAACAGAAGAAAATACATAGAAAACCAAATTTCTTTCATTTTCTCAGCAACCAAACGAAAAGATAATTTTTTTTTTTTTGGCTTTTTTAGAAGGTAGCATAGTGGTGTTTTCGAGTTGAAAGTTAAACTCACCAGAAATACCGGCGGTGCAGTAAACAAGAATGAAAATCATGCCACCAAAGGCCCAAGCAATACCAAGAACGCCAACACCACCACACTGATCAGTGTTCAAGTTCTCATCAGTCTGGCTCTTGTAGCCAATAACAGTCAAGACTGTAATGTAAAGGAAGAGAAGAGTCGCAATGAACTCAGCAATAACAGCTCTATAAAACGACCATTTGGTCAACTCCTCAACGTCGATCAACGGTGCCGGAGGTGGGTCATGGTAGTCCTTTGCTGAGAACTCTCCTTGCTCAGCCCCTTCAACGTCTTTCGCCATTTTTTTTAATCTGCAACAACTAGATGAGCAAGCAAGAAAGAAAGAAAGAAAGAGAAGAACTCTCTGTTGCAAGTTACAGTGCAAAATTTGTGGGTTGAGAAGGCTGTTTAGAGGGCTATTTATTGAAGAGAGTGAGAGAGAGAAGAGAGAGAGTGAGGATGAATGATTAACAGAGTATGACATAATTTTGATAAATTAATCAGATAAATATTAGCCGTCCATAACCTTTGATTTTGATTATCTTTTATTTGAAGGTCCCACCATTATGAGCTCAACGTCTCTTATAAGTTTCTCTTTACATTCATTCTCTTCTTTCATAAAAACATTATTATTATTATTATTGTTTCATTTTTATAGTTTAAATTGATAATAAAATATTTCATGTTTGTGTCTTTAAACTCAAACGTTCAATTGTAAATTCACATGGTTAATGTTTTTGCAACGGCTATTCATTCATCGAAAAGAGAAAAGACAACAGTTGAATTACGTGGGATTGGCTATAGTCTAGAATGTGTGAGAAGTATCGTGAACTATAAATAATGAAAGTATGCATGAAAAGAAGCAAAAAAGGATCAACTATAATTATAGCCTTTCTCAATTTTCAATCGGATTGGAGGGTCAAAGATGAATATAAAACGNTATTCTCTTTTGTTTGAGTGCCTTCTTAAACACGCAAGAGCAGAGCTATTACTTCATTAATCATATACTACACTTAATCAATTAATCCCCTTTGTTTATGAATGGTATTTTTATACCAATGATGTTTTCATGCTGTATATCACATGTGAACCATTAATGAAAAAAAAAAAAAATTACCCATCTAAATGAGTGGAAAATCATATTCTTTATCTCATCATAAACATAATTGTATTACAAGTACATGAATTTCAACAAGGGTGTGGCTTAGAACTGTTAATGATATAAACAATCCTGATGAGTAATGACAGAAGCAAAAGATATTGCATTGTTGTTAAAGTAATATGGGAGCATGGAGGGTATTTCTTAGCTTGAAGGATCAGTAAAGGAATACATACAGACAATAATAAACACATTTGATGTGTGCAAGTGTAATTATAATGGTGGCCTTCAATTTTTTCAATATTATTATTGCAGACGAGGTCAGGTCAGGTCAGATGTGATCGAGCATGCTACCTTTGAAATCAATGCTCTCTTTTCTACTTCACTCCACTGCAATATTAAAATCATGCCATTCCTTCACGCTGTTTACCTTAGACTTGTTATCTGTCTTTCTCAATGTGATGGTGACTTCTCCCTCTGATTTCTTCTGAGGCCCATTTAACTTACACACAAGATCCTTGTTTGAGTTAAATGGGCTTTAGGGCTTCACATGTTTTCACATTCCTTCTACCTCTCTCAACTCACAAGACTTGTTTACATGTATTAAAGTGAATTACAATTTCTGGGTTTTGAATGTGAGCTATCCTTCTTCAACCATTTGTACAAGCCATTTCTACCATTCACAGGGTCATATTGCCTTTGTGGGAACTTTAATAACAAGGAGCTGATGGGCCGAGCTCCAAATTGCAGTTTTAGTTTTGGGACCATAAAACAAAAGAGTAAACGACTTTTTCCACCCAAATATGGTTTAATGGCACTTTTTCATCCACAAACTTTTAAAATATTATTTTATTATTTAAATGTATATACCATTTTTTATTCTGACATCGTTGCAACCTTACACCATCACCAGTCTTTTTTCTAATTATCACTCACTAAAACCCCTCAAACCTTACTTTCATTGGCTCTATCAATCATCGGAAATCAAGCGATTAAAGTTTGCGTAACCACTCTTCTTAAGTCAAATTTCAATCAATTTTAATCATTAAAATTTAATATTTTATTACCAAAACATTTATTGTCTTCTCTCTTTAAAAATCTCAATAGTCTAGATTGAGTTTGTAATCTATTTATCGTTGAAATATAAATTTAAATAATAAAATGATGCTTAAACAATCTTCGAGTAAAAAAGTCATTACTTGGGTGTGAAAAAAGTAGTTAACCCTAAAACAAAAGCGCTTTAAACGATGGTGAATTGGTGATAGACATCTGTAGCTTAGGGACGTGTGGGGAAAACTTTAAAGTCATCTATGACTATAAATATGGGCGTGGAAATTGTTCATGGGCTAAGAGTTAATTTAATGACCAGAAACGCAACCCGAGGTTCACCAACCCTACCCAAGAAAAGAAAATTTTAATCAATGAGCCTGAAACTGAATTCTGATTCTGGGAACTTCCATTTTTATACGTTTTAAGATATACTTTGTAAATTTTCTCATTCCCCCTAATCCTAAGGACATAAAAAGTGCAAAAATACAATTCTCCCAATTGTTACCAAAAACTTCTTCATTAACCTGAAATAACTTGGTAAAAGGATTAGGAAGTGGGAGTTTACTCTTTTAAAGTCTACTTTTTATTATTATTGTTTAGGATAGAAACAAAACAGGGCCATGGAACAAGGGAACTGAGAATTTGTGTTAATGGCAAACACATGCTCCTATAATGAAGCTTTTGACTTTTAGGAGCTCAAGAATAAGGATCGAATGTGGCATAAGAGTCATGAATTGTACTCTTAACATTTATCAGAATTTAGGCCGGTTCAAGGGGTAGCAGGTGAGGCATCTGCCTAGCCCCAAATAAAAGTAAAAAAGGACTCAATTTTTTTATAAAATATTATATAATTTCTTATCCCAAGAACCCCCACACACAAAAAAAAAAAAAAAAAAAAAAAAAAAAAAGGCAGGCCAAAAAGGCCAAAAGGCCCAAAATTATTATAACTGTTTACATATATTCACATCCAAAGTTTGATGAAATAACAAGTTTATAACTCTAATTTCATATTTTTAATTTACCCCTAAATTAACACATTAAATTTTTTTTAACAATAAAGGTTAAAATGATCTTTACATGTCACAAATTACTTCCCCCAATTCAATTCCAATTCGTATTCACATAAATCATCTCTACCCCCTCTTTCGCCGACCAACTGATTTCGATCGATTTTCTCACCAAAATTGACTAATCATCACTTTATCATTTCCTAAGTTGTTTCCCCACCTTGATAGCTCTTGATTTGACTGATTTTTGATGAATCTCGCAACCCAACTCCATTGCGACAACCATTTCCGACCTTTTCGGCATGTACCTGACGTTGTTGGCCTTACCCGACACCACCATCTTCCTCCCTCAGCCCTCCACCAAAACCCCTATCATACGTCATTTTGTTTACTTCGGCGATTTACTTCGCCAATCACCGCGCCACCGATACCTTTTGGTTGTGACTTCTCAAGCCTTTTCCGTCAATCCTGACATTAGAAATTACTCATTCACCACATGCTTCTTTAGTAATGCCTCTAAACACCCCCCCCAACCTGACCCATTAGCCTGCTGATTACTGTCCCACCTCTCCTGGTGATTTTGCATCTCAAAAAATAAAAAAAAAATTTGAAATAATCTTTTAATATAGTTTAAATTATAGAGGCCCCCAAAAGTAACTCTTGCTTAGGTTACAAATATTCTTAAGACAATAAGAATTATGTGCTTTGACTGGACTTTAGGTATAGGATTGATTCCCTGCCCATCACTACTACAGCTCAACTAATTATAATGAATTCTACGTACTTCTTGTTGAATTGTTTTACCATACTTGACAAAGGTTAAAAAGGATGTTCAAACCAAAAAAAAAAAAAAAAAAAAATACAAAACATCCCTCGTGGGTGAGCGATAGAGACTCTTGAGTATATTACTCAAGAGTCTGAATTCGATTCTTCTCAATTGCTAATAGTGTGGTCACTAGGGAATATCCAGTCGTTAACTTCAAGACTCTAAGGATTAGTCAAGTACGTATAAGCTAGACTGGACACCTGGTCACCAATAAAAAAATAAAAATAAATAAGAAGATAGAATACAATAATGCAAATTAACCCAATTATAGTAAAATTAGGTTGTTTGAGAATATGATCAAGATCACAAATCAATAATTGAAAAAAAGTTAAATAGAAGAGGAGAATGTCAAATCAATGCTAGGTGTGGTGTTCCTTTATTAAGCATAAGCAGTGGGAATAACACATTTTTTCGTGAATTTGATGGTTGGAATATACTTTGTCCATCAGAATTATTCTTACACAAAGAGATAGAGGGGGACATGAATAGCCAAGCATATCTTCTCCATTAATTAGCGAAATATGCATCACCAAAGGCTAAACCTTACCTACTTCAGCCTTAAGAAAATGACCTGGAAGCATAAGTTAAGCACAGATAAGGTAAATAATTCCACTCATATTCCACCTTTTAAAAAGCAAGAATCTCAAGACTCAGCTATTGACCTAACTTATTTTCTTTTCATTTGTCCTCACCATACCAACTGCTATATTATTAATCAAGAATCAATTTGCATCATCTCTATTTCGAGACCACACCACAAAACCCAACTCATCTATTCTCATTTGGTTTATCACTATCACTGTGTTTATTTATTTATTTATGGTCATAATGAGCCCTTTGATCAATGCCCCGTTTAAAAATTGTTTTAGTTTGTGGATAAGAATGCGTAGAATGAGGCCATGTTTTATATTAAAATATTTCAAACAAGCACTTAGAATCGAAAACCTAATTAAGACACCTGTCGCAATATCTTAGAGAGAAACATAGGGATTCTGCAAGGTGGGGTGCTATAAGGTGTTTTTATTCAATACTACAAATGAAATTTAATAAATTGCTTTTATTTGAGGGTTTTGTGTCCTCTTCTCATCTTATCATCTCTTCTTTTCGCCACAAGCATTTTCATATGTTTCTTTTTTCTTTTTTTAATGATTGAGGTATCTGACTAATTTCGCATATCTCAACTAATTTTTCGAGACCCTAAAACTACAATCAGATAAAATTTAATAATTACCCCCTATTAATACCCGAAAAAAAACTCGAATTCAACTTCTTGATTATACACCCAAAAATTTCTATGGACCCGCATATTCTATGTTTAAACAATATGTTTGTTTATTGTTCAAAAAAATTAATCCTTTTCATTGAAAGATGTTTCAAC